CATACCACTTAATTTTTAAGTATTTAAAAGCTTTGTTTTTTACGTTTATATTATCCAAATTTTTTATATCACATAAAAAATATCTTTTTTTTTAATTTTAAAAAAGTAAAATGCAATTTTTACTTTTGAAAAGTATAGATATTTGGTATATAAATACATAGGAATCAAGTGATATGTATGTAAATCGTCTGTGTATATGTAAAAAGAATTCATTAGCTCAAGATTGATCCACTCATGTACCTCTCCCTGTTTCTATTTACCCCTCTCATTTTCTTCTAGTTCAATCTGTCATAGAGGATTAAAAATTGAGATTTTGGGGAGGGGAGCTTACATCTTATTTCTTCTTCCTTCAACCCTTATTCTAAAATAAGGTCTCTCTCCGGTTGTATGAAATCACGGACAATACGAGACCTTGAATGGGTTCAATATCCTAAAATATAGAGTGAGGGTGGGGTTCATGCCTAAACAAAGAGGTCTCATCAACACGAAGAGATAGGAAGAAGAGCAATGGACCGTGCTAGAAAGTTTCCTATGCAACAAATTAATGGTTGAAAGAACAGATGAGAATGATGGTGCAAGAGGTAAGACGAGAGACTTCTAGAACTCATTCTAAGTCTTGTGCCAGAATGGGAATGTCAGGTTTGGTGGCTCATAGAAGGGAGGCACTGAGGCAACACCATCAAGGCAAGAACTACCAAGGACAAGATTGAGAAAAGCTTTGACCCCAAGGATAGAGGAAAAAGAAAGAGATTTCGAAGCTCTCCGAAGAAGGGGAAATGAGAAGAAAAAAGTGAGAAAAGTTGTTAAGAGTGTATATTTTCTCAGAGAGATTGCAGAAGCCGAAAAATCCCAAAAGTTCAATATTTCGTCTAATTATTGCGTGCGGAGAGCACACGAAGAGCCGATCACAGCCGCGCATCGCGGCTGTATGACAGTGAGACCCAATATGAAAAGCTCTCTGCACGCAATAATTGCTTCAATATTTCATATTTTAGAGTTCTACAAAAATAGGTCAGATCCATCTAATTACGTGACATCATTTGAGTTGGTAATATACCTATTATGTGTGAGCGATGCTCTGAAGTATGGTTTATTTTTTAAGACGCTAAAGAAATCGGTTTTAAACTGGTTCAATAACTTGTTTATAGGAGTTATCACCTTCTTTGTGAAATACAAGCGCATATTTGTAGCACAATTCACCCGTGCTAAAAAAACTTTAGAAGAATTTTCAAGCCATTATGAAGATCCGCCATAAAGCTTAGGAGGCTTCATTACTCAATTCCAATAGGAGATGTTAGACACAGAGACAGGAATCAACTATCATATATACTCCACATTCTACTAACATGGGTATATTGATACTACATTATCGGTTACTGAGAGCAAAAGCTTAGATCATAACACACATAAATGGGCAGGTATATGAAAAGCAAAAAAAGTATCCTCATTTTCATTATCCATATTAAACCTGGGGATAGAGGCAGGAATGTGACAAGATAAATGTAGAATCATTAAAAAAAGAAAGAAAGAAGATGTCATCATAATCTTAGCCAAATCACTACCATTAAGATAATGTCTTTTTTATGAAACGGAGTCCTTTACTCATACTAGCTCTCGTGGGTCGGAGCAAACGCTAACAGATTTTGTGGGCCTAAAAGGTCCAATTTTTTGTACAAAAAAGACTTGATTAACTAGCTTCGTCTCTCGAGCTCACTTGACAAAATGGGCCGCTAAGCTTGTTTGATGAAGCAATCAGCCAAGCTCACCTGTCGTGCCCTTAATAATTGCTTCTCAAGATTCATAAAACCGTTGACATGAAAGTCTTCGCTCAATGACAAACATATATGCCCACATCTATATTTAAAAGCCACCTGACAACCATGTCATGACCTTTATGCAAGTACATATTAGACGGATCTTGTATTGTATGACCTACATCTTCTTTCTCCATTTGTTGATAAATGGTGTGGAGAAAGAATCCATAAGGAAAAGGACGTAATTCAGTCATCACCCTACGTTCTAAAAAGATTGAACAATATAAAACTAATATATAGTAAGGAAAGGGACGTAATTCATTCATCTCCCTACGTGAACAAAATAAAACTAATATATATATATATATATATATATATAAGGGATGCTTTTATGATTGTTTATTACGTTATAAAACGTAGTTCAAAATTTACTTTTTCCTCTTTGGAAAACTAAAATGAAAGAACATTGTATCATAAGTAAGTTCATAAGTCAACGTCCACAATTTATTTCTTTTAAAAATACTATAAAATAAATAATAACATTTATAATTATCGATTAGGTAACATCTAATTTAATGAATAAATAATGAATCTATTTGAGTAATAATTTATAATTTACTTTTCTAATTGGCGTCGGATCGATATTCAAATCGTCGAACTTGTAAAAGTGTCGCGATTAGCGTCTCAAGGTAAGCAGTTGTTGTTTTTTGGAGGATAAATATACCATTCCTAGTTGGGGACGTTAGTCCTTGTTAGTTGTAGTAGAATCACATCCATTACTTATGGTTGGTATTTGACATTTCCGGTTTCAGTGTGTCTATTAAAACCGACTATATAAGTATAAATGAAAAAAATAGTAATCTGAAACTTGATTGAAAATGATTGCATGTTTTTGTATGATATGCATATTTGATATTTACCCCCATTTATGTTAGTCTTGCAGTGTTATATATGCTACTTGTTCATGCAACATGCTCCATTCTCCTTGTTGTTTACTCATTAATAGATAGTTGTTATTTATTGAGTTTGTTAAACTCAGTCTTAATTTTTACATAACAAGTTAACATGAGCCAATTTTTCAATTTTAATTTCCCAGTTTTGATATTTTTGTTAGTATCATCTTTAGTTATCATTTCTATTTTAATTCAACTAGCTTTCATTCTCAGTCTAGTTGTATCTTTGAGCTTTACAGTATTAATAAAAGTTATTTTTCCTTTTATTCGCAATGCAAGTCTTTCTTTGAAAATACAAAACATGTTCAAATCATTTTCTCGTGCCCTGCTTTACCGGAATGTACCGCCTTCCTGACCCGATGTGTGATAGATATGGTATATATCTATTGTTTATACTTATTTTATTCTATTTTTAAAGTTTGCTCGACTCATGTGCACTATATTCTCTCCCTCTCCATTAAAGATTAAATTATTAATTATAAGGGTAAAAGGAATATACACACATACCACACAATTCTTAGCTATTTGCATATCTAATCCCTAAGTTTGATATTTATATTTATGACATTTTAATGTCATAAACCTATACATGAACATGTGTATATCATTTTTAACAAATTAGTAATAGTGCTAATTTTTAGATTAAAATAATTAAATGATAGTTATAAAAATATCAAAACTTAGATGCTACCATATAAATATATAGGAATTGTGTGGCACGTATGGAAATGCCCCAATCTAATACTACCAACTTTATCTCAATTAAGTTGTCAGAGGAAGCTTATACTGTTATTAAGCAAACCATTGACTTATATAACCAACTTTAATATGATGAAAATCATTTATTTTTTAATCAGTTAATGTGCTTTTAGATTAATGTAATACATAATTAATCAATAAACTAATACTACATTAATCTCATAATAAACAAACAAAATCAATTATGATCAAATCAAATCAAAGTATTTTAACTTTTAATTTTCATCATTAATAAGTGCAGTATATAATTAATCAATGAAACTCTACATCATACCCCCCAATTCTTATATATTTACATATCTAACACCTCGACCCTATTTTTTTACATTTATACCAACCAAATGATTCATATCACATCAAAAATACCACCATTTCAACTTCTAAAAAGATGATATGTATCTAAATCTTCCTTAAGTATATCTAATTTAAATTAAATTTGAATTAAAAAAATCACAAATGATAATTACCACACCACAAACATGTTAAGAAAAGGTATATAAAAAGTGGATTAAAAAGTTCAAAAATATAAATATAATAAAAAACTTACCATGAAAATAGCTTATTAAATACATCATCAAATGTGCATCTATGATGTATATATAATCATTACTGCGGTCTAGCAGTCAAATCCACCCTCATAATGTCCAAAAGCTTTGTATAACACAAAAACATTCAGCAAAAACAACACATACCTCTCTGCGTCAAGAAATTCATACCAACATAACTTCAGCACGGGCTGATCTCCTCAACTCATTCCTTCTTGTCCTCAACCTCCCCATCATCTTTAAGTTTCTCCACCTTCCCCTCCGCAACCGCTTCCGCCGCATCACCGTCATTGTTCGCCTTCTCTATTGTAGGCTCCGCGGCTATCTCAACTCCTGCAGCATCGCGATCAACCGTTTCAATAGTGTGTTTAGCTGAACTCGGCGGCTCGTTCGATTCCGCGGTATGAGAAACTTCGCCGGAACGATGGACACCTTCGGCAGATGGATTTCCTGCATCAGTGATCTCAGAGGCATCCGTGGATGCAGCAGAACCATCGGTAACCGGAACAGTTTTCTTGATGGTTCCGACCTTCACGTATTTGCTCATGAACTTGTACTCCCAATCCTGGAGGGCCTCGAGCTCAAAGGGACCCAGGCCGGAGATGTCTCCGGTGAGATCCTTTTGCTCGAAGGACATTTTTGCTAATGCCCGGCTCGCATCTTTGCCAGCGAATAATGCATATGGACCTCCTGGTCCATAAAACATCCTGAAGGAACCATTATGTTAAAGAGATGATAAAACAAAAAGAGGCATATATGTACATACGCACCCCCACAATTCTTATGTAGTTGCATATCTAACACCTAAACATTCATATTTAAGTGCACAGCACTCAAATCTTTAACATCACATCAGCAATATCACAATCACTGTCATTTCAATAGTGAAATACATCTCTTCAAGCATAGGTTTGTGACGTCGATGTGTTATAAGTGTAAGAATAGCAAACTTTCGGTATTAGATATGTAAATGCATAAGAATTGTGTGGTAATTGAAAACATGATGCAGATAAAGTTATTGAAGGAAGTGCTAAATTGAAAACATGATGGAAAGGAGTGGGAAAAAGACATGTAAATCAGTGAATATAGGAGTAAAATGATTAAATCAACAAAGCTTCCAATCCAATTTGTAGCATCTAATGAGCATAAAAAAAAACAAAAATGCAGATAAAGTGTGTGGGGACATTTACATACATAGCTTATGGATCTCACACAAAAACTTCCATGTTTATACAAATATCACTCAGAGTGCTATGTGTGTAAATATGAAAGTTTTGGTGTGAGATACATAAATCCATAAGAATTGTGTGCTGCTATGTAAAATTCCCAAATGTATATTAAGACGCCGGCCTACTTCAGTAAGTTGTTCTAAACTGGAGAAAAGTAGAAATTGTCAAAAGTTTTCACATTAGTAAGTTGTCAGAAATTGTCAGAAACGTTAGACATGCAGTTGTTTGGTTGACTGTAAATCAAATGCCATAAATATTTTTTTTGTAAATTATTATGGGTGAGAACAATCCGATTTCAAGCCAATTTGGTGCCAGATTGAATGGGCTCATGAATTGAAATGATTCAATTTTGAGCGGGCAGATTCAAAGTAGTCTGATTTAGAGTATGGTTAAACCTGAATATAGTCAGCTGAAAATCATTGACTTATATATATATGCATAAGTCAAAATGTGCCAAATATGCATATATATATAATATGCATATTTGTAAGCTTGGAATATCAATGTACTTATATACCGTATATGTATACATTAAACTCAAAAAAGATACATATAAATTGGAAACAAATTTTGAGTTTACCTGATCCGATCCAAGCCTACCCTAAAGTCTGGCTTGAAGTGCAAATTGAGTAAATAAATTGGGCTGGTTCAAACTACACCGAAAATTGTTCCATTAAATCTCGTCTCTATATTTTTTTTATTTGGCACATTTTGACAAAATTAAAATGTAAACGAGAGCGACCGAGGGAAGTAGTGGTGAAGACAAGCAATATTGAGGGAGGTGACAGTGATAGCAATAATAGGCAAGCAAAAGTTAGAAATTGCAAGCTAGTGCAACATAAATTTTGAAAATTTCTCAATTTGGGTAAATTTTAAATGCAGGGAAAACAAAGGTTCTGAGGTAGTTTAAATCTCTAAAAGCTTTACTTGGTATTTCTTTTGTTTCATATAATATCCAAAAAGTTGAAATGCAAGGAAATGGAATGTACTTCCTTAATAATATTGCAAATCAAATAACCCCTTAAGAGCTTGTCTTGTATTTTGAACATCAAGATTTGAAATATTTGAGTCCCCAAAGTTAAAGAGATAAGCATGATAATGGTTTGAATTTTCACAAGAAAATTCATTCATCCTTAATGTAGTGGAATTGAAAAAGGAAGACATAATGATGCCTTGGGTAGAGTTTCTATCTTTCTACATATTGTGCAAATTAGAGTTAATGGTTTTGATCATATAAAAAAGAGTATGCCCCCATGTAAACATTTTAGTCAAGACTTCTATAATGATTTATCCCTTGTTCTAAAACGACAAAATGATTAAGAATGGTTTTTTTTTAATACACGTTTTTTTATTCTAGATTCTTCATTGAGGGATTTCAGACTTTAGGATTACATATTGGGACATGTTTTGGGAGATAAAAACCATTATAATGATAAAGAGTAGATATTAATGGCCAAGTCTAAAAAGGGATATAACATGTATTATTTGACAATGTAGTGCTTGTCAAATTGCCAAGTTTAAAATCTAAAATTCAAGGCCGTACACACACCTTTATGAATTTAATATAAACCTTAGAGGATATTAACGTGAATTTTAAATTAGGTTTAACACATAAGGATGCACATTCTATTTTTTTTTACTGGTAGATCATTTTTTGAAAAAGACTCATCACATTCCATGCCATTAAAGTTCTAGCACATTTCACACTGTGAAATTATATTCTAATGTAGTAGTTAAATTGCATGAGTTATTAACGTGAATTTTAAATTAGGTTTAACACATAAGGATGCACATTCTATTTTTTTTACTGGTAGATCATTTTCTGAAAAAGCTCATCACATTCCATGCCATTAAACTTCTAGCACATCTCACATTGTTAAATTATATTTTAATGTAGTAGTTAAATCAAATGAGTTATCTATAACAATTAATTCTGAGAATGGCGGAACCAAAAAATTTTTCTTAATAAGGGCTCATAAATTAATTATATTATTATTGTTTTGGGGCATAACTGATTATTATTATTATTGTTTTGGGGCATAACTGAATTCTACTATTAAAATATCACATATTGAGGGTTTATTAATATAAATCTATTATATATAAAGAAATTAAAAATTAGGGAGGTACATAAATCCTCATGCCCGCCCTTAAATTTTCCCTTAGTTTTTGATTGGCTATATTAAATTCAAAAATTAAACCTAATAAAACTTTTTGGAAGACAATCGAAATACAATTTAAAATTTCAACTTATTATCGACAAAATGATGGGCAAATTAACATCACATACTTAGGAGATATGTTGCATTGTTTGGTAAAAATATAAATACACAGAATTTGATAGTGTGTATGCTTGAGTTTATATATAATTCATCTCTTAACAAGTCTGTTGGCATGAGTCTGTTAGAAATTAAAAAAAAAACAAACTAGAAAGCAATCATTTTACATTCTTATAGAAATTAAGCCTAACCAATTTGCATGAAAATATTCAAAAACAATGGCTACTAACTATGAAAATCGCAATTTTTTGCTGATGTGAATGCACGTAATTTTAACATGATAACAAAGTCCTGATGTGTTTAACAATGGAAAAATTTTCCAGCCGAAACTTTTAAGAAATTGAATATAAGAAAAGCAAGGCCAGGTAAATTTTTACATCTTATTGTAGCAAGCACCTAATTATTAAAGCATTTGCGGGGGAGATAAAGGTTGAGGGTTTAGTTTCCCACTGTGAGATTGCGGGTTTGAATTGCACAAATTGCTTTTTGGGCTCAACTTTCTCAAAAAAAAAAAAAACCTAATTATTAAAATTGCAATAAGATATCATATTGATTTACTCTTTAATATGCCTGATTTGACTTTATTTAACAGTTTCCTATCAATACCTTGAATTTTGCTCTCTTTTCACATATCCTTGTGATCCTAAACCCAATTATATACTTCTATACATCTTGCTCCTAAGGTTCTTGTAGATGAAGAAATTATATCCACTACTGATGATGGATTCCATTTATGTCTTGTTCGCTAGCGAGAGACAAGCCTGTTTATGATGATTCACAAATTAATTTATAGGGAACACAAAAATTATGTTCTTATCTGTTAAAAGGGTATCAAATGTTAAACTTATCGTAATACAACTTGTGGCAAGCTTGATCGAAATCTCCGTTTTATTATCACCTGAATCAAAACAATAACCAAGGATTTAGGCGCAATTTATTTTTATCTTTTATTAATTAGGCCAAGAAGACAATGATGATGGCTAAGAGAATGTTGTATTTTCATTCCTATATTTAATTTGTTTTGTGTTGTTTGGGAATTGGCATAATCTCAATCTTAACGTGGTTTGACTTAATTTCCACAATGCTTACTATAATTTGGAAATTAAAAGGTTTTGGTTGGTTATTAATTGATCAAATTTTATAGGGAAATGCAACACACATATATCCATGCATGTGTGTGCAAGCAGGCACATATGTAACGAGGGATTGGTTACAAGTTTTGGGCATGGGTTAAGATTTTAAATCCCTTTAAAATGAATAAAATCTCAAAGATTAGATGATGTCGTAACTTCTTGCTCTTTTAGAAAGCGTGATTACAACCAATTGCTTCCCAATCAATCCCTTATATACTCTTTTTTTCTCTTTTGACTGAAAAATTAAGCTTCTTTCTTGAATGCATAAAAACATCCATGGAAGAGTTATTCCACTCATTTATTAACTCTCCCAACATCTTCCTATTCTTATCTCCTTATGGCTGCTTCTCCTAAGAATTACCCAACAAAAAAACAAGGGCAATATAAACGTACAATTGAAAAACAATTCAAGAAGAGTATTTAGCTAAGATTTTAGTGACATTCTATCAATTGAAGTCCAGTACCAAGCCAAAAAATAGAAAAAACTAAAAAAAAAACAAATGGAAGGCCTCTCTTGTACAAACAATCAAAATTTCTCATAGGCCCTGAATTGCTTTGTGGTTTAATCAGATTATCATTATCAAAAAAACCTGAAGTCTTATTGAATCAATTCCCTTTATATGATCTACTTCATAAAAATTTATTATGTCATACCTAAGCAAACACAACAATCCTTTTTAGTCTCTCCTGCATAGAGAACTCCAAAACCTCAACTGCTTGATGGTTTCATGGGAGGATCATTGCCTACGAACCTCACATAGTATCAAACCAGTTACCCTCATATGTTAAGCAGTGTAAAAATCCATTTCATCCCCAAACAAACACCATAATCCTTTTCAGCATCATTGGTTTAATAAGAATAAAGTTGATAATTGATAACTCTTAAGCATCAACAGACATATCAATCTAATTCGGCAAACTGCAGACTAATTCTCAGAAGACTAATTAATACAAAAAAATTGTGATGCCCAGCAGAACTAACAACTACAATCATTTATAAATGGTGATTGCAAGTAGCAGGAAAATTTCTGCCCAGAACAGCAAGAATTCCATCCAACAGAATCACATAAATTTAGAATCAGCAAGAAAACTCATGAGAACATAAAATCACTACCCTAATTTACACAAAATATTAACCCAAACACTTATATGCTGAAAAAATAGCCAACAAGCTAGCAAGATACTGATATCAACAAGCCGGCTCCTGGAAATTCAGATAACATGCAGAAAGCACAACCAGGTAGACCAAATTAAGAACTCCAGATACACATGATGCATCATATATATGTATATATATAAATATATATATATATATGAAGGAGCACAGATGAATATACCTTCTTTAAAGCAAAAGAACTGATTGAAAATTTAGCAACATCAAAAGAAAGAGACAATAAAAGTAAAACCCTATAAAAATTTAAAATGAATAGATGCTTGGTAAAAGTAATTAGTGATTCACACAGAGCATCAGAATCAATAAAGTTAAAAGATAACAACAAACCATCCCCAATCCAACTGAAAAAACAAAAGAAAAGTCAGCATACCTCCACCCAAAGTCCAAAACCATAATCAACCCAAATATTCAGCATAAAACGATAAAAGGAGTGAGGAACAACTACCTGCTCTGCGTGACGTCGTAGATCTGACCTTTGATCGCCATGAGAAGGGGTTTCTTAGGATCGGAACCATCGTAGGCGATAAGCTCCTCCTCCGTTACCTCGCCGAGCTGAACCGGCGGCGGAAGCGGCTCCACCGGCTCAACCTCCACCTCCCGCTTCCTCGCAACCGGCGCCGGCTCGAAGTAGGCGGAGACCACGTAATAGAACGCCACAGCAACCGCCAAGACCGTAAAGAAGGTCGCCGTAGATAGTCCCGTGTAGGACTTGATCGCTTGCTCGAGCGTCGCCCACAGCTCCTTCACTTCCATTGCTTCTCTGCGTCTTCTCGTCTCGAGTCACAGAGACAGGCGAAAGGGTCCAGAAGGGATTAAAAACTGGAGAGAGAGGTTTGGTGCAGTTATGGGTGTGTTTTGTTGGTTTGTTGGGTGAAAATGTGGGTGGAAAATAAAGGTCTTCATGTGTGGAGGTATTGACGAGATTACCCTTCGAAAAGTTATTTTATTTCTTGCTCGGTTTTGACGAGTGTAGGAAGAAAAGGAGGGGGGCGGGGCGTCGTCTTTTTGTGATTTTTTTTTAGCAAGAATCTTAGGGCATCCGGGTATTTTTTAAATAATAAAAATATTTTTTTAAAGTATAATCTAAATTTTTTAATTAAAAAACTGCATAAATTCTAAAAAAAACTATTAAAAAATGTGAAAAATTGATACAATGAGTTACCATGAGCAATCTCAGTCTCATTCGTACATTTGAGTGCTTGAAGAATGTCGAAATCGAACAATCTCGAGCTCATTGGATTGGTTTATCGAGACGCTAGATATGATTACAGACTTCATAGATTCAACATTCGTTTATCCTTCTAAATATATCCAAAAAACTCTTAAGTGTAGTTTAATGACTTGATATGAGCTTAATTTCACTTGAATTAGATTAATTTTGGTAACATTGGGTTCATCTTGTTAAGCCGATCAGTTTGATTGTAAGTTTTCTGAAATGAGAGTATTAGATGAGTTTTTATCGAGGTTTGAATATTTATTGCTAAAAACATTGTCTCAGGATTAATGTCATGCCTCGAGATTTGTGTCAAATGATGAAAATTTACTGAAGATATATCATATATATATTCCAATTATACCATAATTTTATACTGTATTTAAAATTAATCAAGCTAAATTAAAAAAAATAAAAACAAACTGCATTAATGATAAATTAAAAATCATATATTGTAATAAACTTATATTTAATCAACCAATTTTAGGAATATTTTCTCATTACAAAAAAATAATATTAGCATTAATGAGCATCCATGTGCTTTGTTTATGACAACATGATTGTATCGTTATCATATGAACATAAGAAATAACACCGCTCAACCCCACACAAAAAGATCAATTTAATGTATTAACCCAAAAAAATTTCTTTTAAATGCAATTTCATATTAGTGGAATAAAAAATAAGCTTTGATAATCCCACAAATTAATTAATTTTTTTCTTACATTAAGCACCAAATTTTTATGATTTTAGAGAGGTAAAATCAAAATAATTAAGTGTTTTGTATATAAATTCCCCTTAAAAAATTTAAACATTTTAGTTTATATTTATAAAGAGAAAATTTTTATAAATAATTACATATTTATTAGATGTTTTGATTCTAGTAATAAGATGTTCAGGTTGAGGGCTAACATATATGCATTAAATTAGCATAAACTTATAAATATATTGTTAAAGTAATATGATTTATGATCTTAATTTTGCACACATATACATTACAAAGAGCACAAGTCCTCCCCAAAAAACCATGAGGCATACTTCAGTTAAAATGATTCACTGTATAAATGAGAGTTTCATCTGTCCATTGCAAGAATGAAAAATGTTAGCCTGACTTTCTTTGGAAATGTTATAATGATCCGATAGTAATGAAGGTGACAGTGATTGTGATATGCTATTATGGTGGCAATCTAGTGGAGGTGGTTCGACAATGATGATGATGTTTGTCCATCATGGCAAGACTAATCTGAGGCGGTCCAATGATGCAGTGGCTGAGTGACAATGTTTTAGCTATGGCAGTTAGGGGTTTAAATGAGCCGAACACGAGCGAACCCAGGCTCAGCTCGTTTTCGGCCCGTTTATATTTCGAGCTCAAAAAGTGTGTTCATGTTCGACTCGTTTGCTTAGTGAGTTAAAACAAACCGAACACGAACGAACAAATATTTGTTAATGTTAGGCTCGTTAACTTAGCGAACGAGCCGAACACGAGCTTCTTAACGAGCCGAACATGAGCTGTTGGCAAACAACGAGCTGTTTTTGATAGCCCTAATGGCAGTTAAGCTGGTCGTTGATTGTTTGACGATGATTCTCAGTGGTCGCAGGCGTCAAACTTTCTTTAAGTGTCAAGTTAACCTTAGTTTCCTCTCTCTCCTCCTCTTTCATATTGAAAATGAGGTCCTATTTACAAAATTTTGACAGAGACGTTTTAATAAATTTAGCCAAAATCATATGGCACTATATTGAACGGTTGGTGATGATTCCTTTAATCATAAATTGTTTATTTAACATATGAATGTTTTGAAAACATCATAATTAAGTGATTTTGGGCTCATTCATCTTGTTCTAACGTTCCGTTCAACTACAAGCAACTCATATTTGGCAATTGTTTGACAATATAATTAATGTTTCAAACCTTCCAATAATATCTCAAGCACGATCTCAGCTCATGTGGACTCAAATTAAAACACTTATGATGTCATTGGGTTCATATTATAGAATATTTCATGTGACTATCCAAGCATGAATATATTTTTATTTAGTTCTGAAATTATCTTTGTTTAGTATGCATTGTGATTTGTACATGATCAAATGGATTTTCTGGTGACATTATATATATATATATATATATAGTTTTAGCTCATATGAAATGAGAAACAGTTACTATAAATACCACTGAATTCCTAAGTATTTACATATCAAATATCAAAACTTCAATTTTTACCTCTATGAAGCAGATACAATGGACAAAAATTAAGCCTCTTACTTCAACCTCATCACATCTCTTCTAAAATTATATATATATATATATATATATATATATATATATATATATCTGTGTGTGTGTGTAAAATTTTAGAAGAGACATTGTATATAAAAATACGGCTACGTACCTAAACATGATTTTTTTATATGGAGTCTGACATAGAGGCAAATACATCGTGCAAGATGCGCAATCATATTTTTTTGCGAACTAAGTTCACCTGACAAAGTGGATGAACCGAGCTCACATGTCGAAGCCCGAAGCACCTATCCCATCTAGAGAAGAACTATCAAAGATGGACATCATTATTTGCAAGGACAGAAGTCCATCTTTTTTTAAAAGCACCGTCTTAAACCCACATCATAGTATTTTTACCAAGACATCAAGAATGGGCGCAGTGTTGCACGAAAAAAACCTAAGATCTTTCCAAGACTGCCATTGTGATCCAAGAAATCTTATCCGAGCCATTTTTATGCTTATCGAAGATTCAAGGTCAAGAGATTAAACTAAAGACGGTCACTCAAGCATCACATCCATCCATTTCTTCTACCTTCCTCTAAAAATAAAGTCTTTACAGAGTTACACGCACTCATAAACAATATATCACCCTACACCTTAAAAAATTCAATTGAAATGTAAGAACATAAGAATTCTAGAATTTACCTTTTCCACGGCTCCAGCGATCAATGATCTTCATATAAATTAGATAAAATACTTTAAGTTAAAGTGCTGCAATGCACTAAGAATGTTAAACTTCATTAAACAAGAAGACAACAAGTACCGGTTAGCTGACACCAAAGCATATAAACAAAGGATCTAAGCCTCCATTGTATGATTATCACTGTCCATATCTTCAAATAATAAAAAAAAAACCACACAATTCTTCTGTATTTACATATCTAACAACTAAACTATAATATTAAACTTTAATCTTTACATGTATAACACTGAAATCTCTTCAATATCATATCATTTTATCCAAAGACTCATTTTCATTCCACCAAGTTGTTATAAATGTAAATGTCAAACTTTACATGTTAGGCACGTATATCCGTAAGAATTTTGTGCTTCTAATCCAAATTACCCAAAAAGATACAAAAGCTTAATAAACTAATGAATTGAACAGAGTTTCAATTAAATTATTACGTGCAGAGTTCGCATGCGGACTCCAAGTATAAGACTTCAAAGTCCGTATGCAAGCGGACTCCGTGTACAAGACTGTTGTCTATGCTCAAGCTGGAAATGACAAAAAATTAATAAATTAAGGCAGGCAAAAACAGCAGAATGATTGGGATTCAAGAATCAAGATTCGTTCTGGAGATATAAAAATGCTAAAAAAACGTACAACCAGTCATGAAGATAACACAGTTATGTATGAACCGACAATAGTGAAGAGGGGCAGCTGGCGGCAGAACTGCATGCATGCCAACATAGCAAGTTCTAGTTGTTTTGGTTAATCAGGTATCTTTGTTCGTTTATTGTATTAGAAAGATTTACAGGCATACCACTCAATTCCTATATATTTACATATCTAATACCACCTAGAACTCCAATTTTTACATACATACCATACAACCCATGATGCGGACTTAAATTTATCTTCAATGTTTGTTTGATTCCTACGCTATAGACAATAACTTTACATAAATTTGTTTTGAATATTGTCTTGTTTAATTTTCTAAATTCTAATATTAATGTATAAGAATTTTTCATAGAAGAGTTGTACCATAACATAAAAAAGGTAGCATTTTTATATTTCTTCGGCCATACCTCAATTATTGGCTCAGAAATTATGGTATTTAATTTAATATTGTTTAAATTTTATATTTTTTTTCTATAAGGAAAAAAATCACAAATTTCAGTCTCATTCTTTATAGATCTATTTGTCTTTCTATTTCTATTTATATAGATAGAAAGATAGAAATAGAAATTATAGAAGTTAGAATCATTTTTTCTGAAAGGTATGAGAAAACTTCCTAAATGTTTTTAGGGATATCCCAATGAGCTATCTATCATATCGATTCGTCGTAATTGATGTTCGATCCCGAAAAGAGAAAAGAGATCTTTGAAAAGTTAGTTTTTATGATCCAATAAATAATTAAAACTTGTTTAAATGTTCGTGCTATCTTATATTTACTTGAAAAAACGTGCTCAACCCTTTATGATATTTTAAGGAAGGCAAAATTCTTTAAAGAATTTCGAGTTTCTTTTGATAAATAAAAAAAAAAACAAGAATCACAATAAAAAAAAAGTATAGGATAACTAGTACCTATCTTTATTTAATTCTTATTTATATTCTTTTTGTGGAACACGTGAAACCCAAACAATGGGGTAATCTTTCTTTTTATATTTACATCTTTCTTTATTTTTATTAAAGAAAGCCGCTAATTTTTTATCTATAATTTTTTTTTTACTTTTTTCGCTCTAAATTTTATTCTTTATGTTGTGCTAATCCAACACAAATTTTCATATAATTTCTTGAAATTTGTTTTCTAAAAATAATTTCTCCATGCACATCACTGATTACAAACATTCGTGATCTGCATGTGTATGAGTTAAATTACTCATCCCTCATTCTATTAGAGAATCATTTCTCTAAGAATTGTGAAAGACGCTCCACTGGAAAATCCATTCATATTGACCATGGCATATCAAACAAATATAATTTGATCATATATAAATATATCTTTTTATTCACATTCTCTTTTGACTCTTTCCTTTACTTTAGTAAAAAGGCTGAATTTGCTTCTTCTTTTTTTCGCTTTATTTATTTAGGTTATATCTACACTTCATATTGATCCGGGTTGCTAACTTAACGGTAGAGTATTTGACTTTTGATTACACCTTTGATATTTTACACATGTGGGTGAAGAATTTCATCTAGATTTTGATAGAGTTTATAAGACCACGATTGATCCTAAAAGGTAATAAAGGAATAAATAAGCACATAAAAAAAGAACATAAAAATATTTAAAATAATAATATAATAAAGAAGATTTCTATTACTCATAATACAAATAGAACGAGAGTTTTTCTTATAAGAACATTTTAAAAGTTTAGTAAAGTATTTTGGGTCTAGTGAATAAATGGACCCGAATCCATTTGAATAAAAAACGAAGTGACCAAGACAAAAAGAAACAAAGTGACTTAGACAAATTTTCTTTCTCAATTGCCTCAGACCAATCAATCGAATATCGATGAATACATAATCTTTCGAACACTACTCGAAAATGATTCTTCTATTCTGAAACGAATCGTTCTGAATGTTTCAGAAAATTCTAAATGTTTAAGAATTCTAAGTCCCGTTGAATCATTTATATGTATATGCATCGCGATACTAATTCATGGATCTCTCAGTTCAAGAAATAGAAGGATCTAACAATTTCTTCTAACTCTTTTTCAAATTCAAAAAATATTGGTATAACTCAATTAAATTGTAATCGTGATTCAAGATAATTAATTACGACCATCTAATCTAATGATTAGATGCTAAAAATATTAGAAACTATTACCAAGGCTCACAAGCTTTAGTGACTCTCTCTAATGAGCATATCAAACCTCCAACATGTATCAAACATGGACATCCCTACGTTCATACTAATCCAAAATTTTATGTATATTATAAGGATGTTATTAATTTCATTAATAAAAATCATATCATTGCAATAGCTACAAAAAAAAAAAAGTAAAATAAGTACCATAATAGTAAAATAAGTACCATAATAGAAAAAATAAGTACCATAATAGAAAGGGGTTCGACTTCAGATTGACTACTAAACTAACATCTTGCCGACATTGCAATATGGTGGAGCTGACGTTTGATACATAGTAGAAATATTCTATCACTCTAACAGATATGAAACAATTTCTTTTTACAATGCAGAATAACCTATCTGTTTAAAGTGCTCAATGACACAAGAGAGGGCCAATACTATAAAAACAACCTTTTTTTTTGTTTTTTTATGATCAATATTGTGTTGATAATGCCAATTTAGTTGATACAATAAACTCCAATTGTTATGTTTTGGACATTCTTCATTCGATCGATGAAAGCGACCAGATTTTATATTGTTATTGTCATCTGATGATTACATTTGCAGTGTGTCTACTTTCAAATATCATTCCCTCGCATTGCTAGGAAAGTCTTCCTCTTGTCTCCTCAATTTTTATGCAAGTATAAGAAATTCAGGTTTAGAAAAAGTAACAAGATTCCCTGAAGAAGTTACAGACTGTTAAGGGCTTTGACAAGGAGATTGTTTTCACGGAGGCTTATACGACGAAAAAAATAATAAGAAGATTCAAAACACACAACATCAAGTGCATCAGAAATATATTTTCTTTGTGTCAGATTATAAACATTTCTACTTTTGGAACAAGATGTAATCTTTGTTTTGGGTCTACATACATATATGTTAAAGCAATACAATATCAATGTAATAAATGGGTGTGTTTTATTGTAATATTTGACAAGTATATGTTGTTGATTGCCTGAGTTTTGTTTTATATGCTGTTGTATAAGCCACATAGTAAGAACTCCCTCGCATTAAGATGCATGTTTATATACTGAAACTATGAAAAAAATCGTTTAATTGGTAATTAATGAATCAGATCACTCGATGGCAAGATAATCCTATAAATTAAGCCCAGAGTGTTTTTTTCATTTAACCTCAAACAACTTCAGCAACAGATATCAGCTTCTACTTCGAACATACCAATCAAATTAACACAGATTAAGTTTCAAAATCTTACAATTTAAATTCCCCTAACATCTACTCACATAGTTTACAGAAATATACAAATACAACCAATTACGATCGAAGAATAATCGAGAATTCAAATAAGAATCGCAAATAAAAAAGATTTATATTCACCAACAAGCAAATCTATAACCATTTTCACAGCCTACAAACAAATCTACAAACATTGTCAGGAGAGTAAATTAAAATCCATCAACAAGCACTATAGAGATAGAGAAAACCAATCCTTGAAACAGAAACTGGTAATTTTACAAAGAAGTCAAAAAAATATATCCATAAGTCAGCAATCAATAAAAAGCCCCTACAGTAACTCTAAAAACAAGAGATATCATTCCCACTTCGCATCAAACAAGAGCAAACCAATGAAGGAGGAGGAGAGGCAGAGCATCACCGCTTAATTAATGATATGGAGGAGCCCAAACAGGTGCGAGCTTTGGACTGAAGGCCGGATCGTCGCTGCGGTAGGGCCCCGACGAGTTCTGGAGAGAGAGCATGAGAGGCCGGTCCTTCTCTGCGTCCTCCATATCGTCCTCATGATCGATCGTGGTGAGATTGATGCAGGAAAAACGCTCCAGAGAGGCAAAGAAGGCGGATGCGAGGCCCGTGCCGATCCAGATCGCCATGCCCTCGAGCTTCGTGCAGGAAGCCGCACCTGATCCGTTCTCGACACCAGAGTGTGGGTTCTCCATTAGATATCGCCCTCGCCGCCGCCGCCGATGGATCGAGATATCGTCCGGCCGATGAGACGGAGTCCGAGGTGCAGGGAGAGAGAGGAGGAGAAGCCCTCTGGATTAGAAAGAAAGCGCGGAATTGTGTTCCATCTCCAACTCTTGCTACATATATACACTCAAATGCCATTTTTTATTCTTAATTATTATGTCAGCTTACTTTATTAACATTATAGGCAAATTGGACAACCACTAACTTCCAAGCCTTGTGACATGAATTTTGCCAATTTATGCAAATGGACATTGTTGTTGACCAACTCAATTTCTTGCAAGATTTTTTGAGATATTGTTTGGATATTATGATATTAAATTAGGGGATTTAGATACATACCACTCAAACTTTTTGTTTTACATGTATGTTGGTTCTTTTTGGGATGTGAGATCCAGTATAATTAATTTGTGAATTTATATAATTCGGGAGAGGTCTTACAAAAATTGTGAGAAGAGGTTGATGGGATTTTTCGAGAGAGAGATGTTCATATAGTCTCCTGAGAGTGCGGGATCAGGATGTTTATCTCCCTCCTCTTCCCTTCTCTTCTTATATATACGATATGGGTTGTATGTGCCCGACAAGGGTTTAAAGAATAAAATATAAAACTAGGTTATAGGTCATATAGTAGAGAGTCTGGGCAGACTCGTTGTCTACAAGACTGTTTTTGGGGATTGTTGTATTGTTAATAAATGATGATTTGTATGTTGACAGACCGAAGTTTTCTTACTTATGTCTCGAAGAGCTGTCTGACAAGCTCGGCGGTGTAGTCATGTAGTTGTTGACAAGTTTGGTGGGAAGAACAAACTAGTTTGTGGGAGTTTCAACATGAGTGGCTCGATTAGAAGAACTTGCTTGAAGAATACGGCTTGATAAATTCGTTCTAAAGAACTCGCAATAATGTTGGTGTACTTTGGAGGTAGTCGTGGAGTATTTTTGGGCGGCAAGGAGTTTTGTAACTTGTTACTTTCAAATGTACAGTTAATGAGTATGATAGATTTAGTCAACACTTAACAGTTAAATGAACTGGTGGGATCGATCGATTAAGCTCACAAGGCCAAGTTAATACTCGGACATATTTGTTCTTCAAAGAAGCTCTTTTTTACCCATATATTTTGTTCCTCGAGTCTCTTAGCCCCGACATGATACTGTGAGAAAAATGAGAGAATGAGAACATAAAATAATGGATAACCCATGTTCATGACTGGAGGGATGAGATGTCGCAACAGGCGTCTTGTTAGGTTTGTCCCGAGACATATATATTCATAATCAATTGAAACGGTCCTTTCCACAGCAATAAGGTTTGTGGGCTTTGCTTTGAAGGGTATTCACAAGAGTTTATCAGTGAGCTCGGACTTTCTCTTTTGGGGGCTTGAAAGCTACGCTTGCAGGGAGTGGTCACTTGTACT